CCCGCCTGAAGCCAGTGGAAATTTTGCCGTCAGCTCCAAAGGACACAGGATGTGAACCTCCTAGGAGTATGGCAATGATGAGGGTTTGTCCCAAGAGTTCATGATCTAGAAATGTTCATGTTCCTCTCCCTGTGAGATGAGGAGCTACGGAAAAATATAACATTCTCTCTGCCGGAGTTCAGTAATATTTTTTCTTAGCACCTAAGAGGGTCTTTGCATTTTTAAGTGCTTTACAAACATTAGCTAGTCTTCAGAGCAACCCTGCGAGGTAGGTAAGGTATATTCTCCCCATCTTACAGATGTGGAAACTGAGACACAGAGGGTCAAATTCAACCCTGGTACAATTCCAGTGTTTTACATGAATTAAATTCATCCAAAATGAACACAGTTTAAACAACTTGCCCTAGATTACAGAACAGGTTAATGGCAAAGCAGGGACAAGAACCCAGGAGTGCCTGACTCCTCAGCTTGTTATCGGCCACTTGGTCATTTTTACTCTCATAGGCAATGAAAAACACTATAATCTGGGCAATTACTACAGGTATGATTTGCTTCTGTAAGGCATGTGGATGGTAATCAACTGAGTTAAGTGCAATAATACTTTATGAATGTGCTGCCTCAGAGAGTTTACTTAAACACGAAGTAAACCTTTCGTACTGTCATCTTCTGCAGGTGCAGAATCCAGCGTAGCTGGATTCAGCAAATAAATAATTAGCACAACACTTGGACAACTAAGCAAAACCACTATTTTAGCAAAACCCAATGTGTTTCTACTTTTAACTGCTAAATTTCTACAAGTGCAGCATACAGATGAAACCTTTCCCTTTGTTTCCAGACTGCAGACTCCAGTCTTGCTAACGAAGCAGCTCAGAGCTGCACAGATATCCTGAATAGTGACATTCGAATGAACTCGCTGCAGAAGAAGAAATAGTGTATCACCACAGAATATGGGATAATTACTACAGACGAGGTATATCAATCTTACACAAAGATGAGCTTGAAGCTTACAGGTTACTCGGACATGCCTGGAAGCTAGGCTTATTGAATATATGCCAATTTGTAGACTGCAGTTCTAGGCACATGCCGATTGCAAGGCGGGGTGTCCGTACCACCAACACTCTGGGAACTGGCCCCATCAACAGTCAGTTCACATGGCACAGATAGGTCAGTCTGAAGGTCAGTGTTGGCCAAAGACGGAAAGACACGTAGGCATTTTCAGGCCATCCCCTTGCACTCCAGTCCTCACCTCGTCCCCCATCCCCACACAGATTCTACCACAAAAGGCCTGAAAAGCCTTTTTCGTTTTAAAGATGAGCTCTGGAGTCTACAGTGTAGACCTTACGGCAGGTACTCGGGCAATAAAAACATTATGACAGGTACTTATGCAAAAAAGATTGTTTTCTAGGATGTTCTTATGCATACAGTCTGCAAGTTAGACCACCTGTCTAAGCTCTGGACATGCTTACGGATGTTCAGCCATGTGTGCTGTCACACCAAAAAGAGATCCCACTCCCTTACAAGCCACACAAATGCTGACATTCACTTCTACACGAGCAAATTCAAGCACTGTAATTATAGATATCTTGTTCCACTTTTAACCTCTTTAACTCAGTTTTGTTCTGTCCATATTTAGGGAGACTGGCTATCGGACATGGCAAATGGAGCAATTATTTACATACATGTCCTTCACTGAATAAACACAGACACTCAGGTAGCATTTCCCTAGATATTCTCCACACTTACTGTAACTTTTTAATTTGTAGCCACATTTTCAACAGACAAACGAACAAATATACATTAATTAGAACTCTTAAAATGTAATCACGTCTCCCTGTACCCATTCACTCCTGATTCATACAGCCTGCTTACAGTGGCTCAGAGAGCAGTACTTGCAACCAGCATTTACAAATAATTCCATGAAATGCTCAGGCCCATACACGTGCCTCAACATTTTGCCAATAGAACTTTTAAATGAAGCAATATTCTTCATATCAGAGCCAGGTACCAAATCTGCAGCATGACTGGGGCTCACAGGCCCTCTTGTAACTCTTGTAACAGCAGTAAGATTCCAGTAAAATTGCAGTTGGTTGCAATCCAACCTTTATACTGTTATCTGTCGTTGAGATATATATAGACGACCCTGTGTGGCCTAACTGCAAATATCAAATGTATTTTTACAAGTTAGCAACAGCCTTTTTTGACATTGCCTCTTGAGATGTCATCTACATCGTGACTAACAAGCACAAATATACAGTATGCTTTAAAAGCCTTTTTTTTACATTTGGCTTTTACTGTTGCTTGTTTCTGAGCTGTCTTCTACTGCTGAGATTTGCTGTCCCCAGCCTTTTTGATTTCTTTCTTAGTTTTTAATTGCTAGTTGGACATGCTAGTGGCATCGCCCAGGCAAACCCTTTCTACATAATTAGTTTTGAAACTTGGATGAGTCATTGGGCTCTAACTACTATGCCTCTATTATTTTAACTTGAATACAGCACATCTCAAAGATTTTGGCTTCTTTTTGCAGTTGTGGAAATTCATAGGATGACATCGTTGCAGGTCTTGATCCATTTGCTTTCTATTGTGAATTTCCAGGGTTTTTTCACAATATAAAGCACATTTCAAAGCATAACAGTGTTGTGAACCAGTCTCCTCTCCCAGTGGTGCAGACAATTTTCTGCTTTATTGGCAGCTGAATAAAGCAATGCCGTATTTATGACAAAAATTAATGAAAATATGTAAAATTAAAAGTACTTCATGTAGTTTTCATTTTCTTTTAATGCAGATTGGCAAATGAAAACAGAACACACACAGCCACACAGGGCCATGCTGTTTTTTATGGCCCATCAGTGATAACTCAAGAGGCCACAGTTTGGGAACTGCTGTTTCAGAAAATTCTAGTCAATCTCTTTAAGAGACCACATGACCCTACCACAAATTACATACCAGCAGAATTGTGGCTGGCAAAGAATACATATTTTTGTTAGGCCATTCTCATCATTCACTGAGAATCAAAAAGATCCAAACCATTATAGTTAAAATGGGTTGAGATAAAAGATAAAATGAAGTGGGTGAAATTTTCTTTTAGCTTATGCACTTTCATAGGGAAATTTTCACAAAGCTGACATTGGTACAGGACATATCAGTTATTGGTTTCTGTGATAATTCTGACCCATATTAAGGATTTGACCTCATCATCCCTAGTTATAATCCTTCCTATATTCCCGTTATAAACAAAGGGGGCTTTGTCTTACAGAAGACTACGGGACTGGACTCAAAACATTTTCTTGGGGTTCGGATGCCATGTGCATGAAAATGGGAAAGACCCAAGCAGAAATGTGTTTCCACAATAGGGGCAAAGAGGCTGAGTTAAAGAGCCACTACGCTATTGTGCAGTATGACACCAGCGTTTCCTAAGAAAGTACCACCCTTCTTTTTGAAAATGGGGTATACAAGCAGTTTCTCATCTGAACTTCAAGTTGTAACCCCCTTGTGTAATATTATTGCATACTTGTCACTTGTTCTGTCAGACAAAATCAAAATGCATCTGTTTAAAATCTGCACATTGTTTACAAAAATGTCTTTTTATATAGAAAGTAAGTTCAATCTATAGTTAGCTGTTTGTCGTGTGAGAAGGATAATACCTGGGTTGCTGTGAAAAGATACTGCTTTGGAAAATATCTCATAATTCTTGTCTTTGAACTCCCCCAAAGCTTCTGAAAGAGGACTTCAAAATACCCAGCTGCCGCCAGAACTAATCAAAATAGGAAAAGATGGGGAATAATGACAAAGTGCCAGTATCCAGTACTTGTAGAGCCAGATTTTACGTCCTGAACTCAGATTCAGCAGTACCTTATTCTGCAAGTAATTTCAGGATGGTAAATCTGACAGAGTGCTCTAATTAAAGAGCAGAAGAAACCAGTTCCATGTAATTCTTTAAAAGATCCAGAATGAGATCTCATGCATCAGTTACTCTCTTTACATCCACAGAACTCCCACCGAGCTTGGCAGGGGCTTATAGAAAGTCTGGCATCTGACTTTGACTCTAAAGGGCTGATCTGGGGGTGATTTACCAGGGAAGATAAAGGGGCCCCTTAGCAACCCCCTTAATACAACAGATGTTCCTGACGTGCTGGGGGAAGAGCCATGCCATTATGCAGTGCCCTTCTTCTCCCCCCGCCCCCGCTCCAAACTAGTCTGACCCCTTTCTGGTTCAGTTATTTTACATATCCCTCTATTTTATTTTAGTATCCGAGTGGCTACACCAACCACTCACTGCCTGTCTAATTAAAGTCTCTCCATCAACTGGTAATTCTGTAATAATTCACAGCTGTTTTTCTTCTCTCTGTTAAATCTATTGTTCCCTGGCTGAAAAGGCTGCAAGACCTTAAAAACTATAGATAGCTATCAATTTGTTTGCATTTAAAATCCAGTATGTGGCTGCAAAGGCCTGTTACAGTATCACAGAGGAAGATAAATGTCAGTGCATAATCCGCTAGGAATTTTCACACAGGAGTTGATTAAAAGTCAATGAGTAATCGTTGCACAAGTGTCTTCAGGTGTATATATATATACACATATATGTAGCTAATAAATATATAGCTAGATATATAAATATATATGTATATACAGAGCTAGTTTAAACCTAATTGTTATGAAATTAGTAAGTGGCATTCACAGTTCATGCATTCTTCCTAGTAGCAGAGCTAAATTATTTCAGCTTATACTCTAAGCAGCAACATACCAGTAAGCGTTTGCTTGCTTCCCCTGGTAACCTAGTAGTTTAAAGAGCACGTGCAGTTCTGCCATGGTCACTTTCTCTGGCAACCCTCCGTGAAAGGGACCTGGCTCTTCCACAGGTGTGTTTCCCCCAGGTTTCACAGCATCTTCAGGACATGGTGGGGCCGGACTGAGGGTCGCCAGTCTGAAGGTCATCGGCCCGAGGGTCTCCAGCCCAAGGGTCACTGGTATGGTGGTCACTGTCCCAAGGGTTGCTGGCCCACCTAGTCCTGCTTGCAGAGGTCTGCGACGTTGAGGAACCTCCTGACGACCACAGCCAGGCAGAGCGTCAGGAGCACCATATAGCCCACAGTGCCCAAGTAGGTGGGGGCAGCCAGGGGTGCCTTGAGGAACTCGGCCAGCCCATCCTCCACATAGTGCACCTGGTCGTAGATGCTGAGGAAGGTGAAGATATGGAAAAGCTGGTGGCTGTGCCCCACGATGTCAAAGAGCCCTGGCTGGATCCGCTCGGGGATTTTGCTGACGTTGAAGAAGGCGGCCACCAGCAGCCAGCAGTAGCGCCGGTAGAAGTAGACGAAGAGAGTGGGGTTGCGGGTGCGGAGGTCAAAGAGGAGGCTCTCCAGCATGATGGGGCAGGCCATGCTCAGCGGCATGGCGAAGACGAAGGTACGCACGGCAAAGGGGTAGGCG